CGACTAAAATTCACAAAAACGACGTTCATGAGGAACGAATTGATTATGTCTGCGCCATTCATGATCAACAGAATGAATATCTGCGAATGCTCTAGTTATCTCATTCTAGGTTGCGAAATCAACATGATGAACGAGTTAACTCTAGAGCTGAGCAGGAGGAAGGCCTTAGGCATTCTACTCGAGGAATATTCTTGAAATTGAACCCAAGTTATGTATTAAGCGTTTTGACTTCGTTATTATCGTCTAGGCGGGAACTGGGTCGGTCTTTAGTGAAAGTGAAACCTAAATAGTCGTGACTAGTAACGACCATGTCTCTTTCTATGGAATTTTCCACTAAATCCATGAACTGATCATGCGCTTACTTTCTTCATTCAGAATGAGCAAAGAAAAAATGAACAATATTACATCTACTATTCCATATGATAACTTTTGACAAATGTTTAGTCTTGAGGAATCCAACAGCCTTCACTACTTAGTTTTGTGTACGTACATTCAATCTATCAACAGAGATACAAAAGTATGAAGTGCAAACTCTAAAAGAGTGTAAAGCAACAACATAATCTCGTTGGATAAGAAATCACTAAGATCAATGTGAAACAAACAAATTATTCTCTACGTAAAATCAGCAACAAGTGGGAAGAATATGAAGCGGTGGAAATCACAAATTTATTAATCATGTCACGTTTCTCTTTCTACTTTTCTCTTCGAAGAAAAATTCATTTCTGCAAAAAGGGAAATTTTCCAAAGTTAGGCCATTTTTTTGAAAATCTCTGATAAAGCCGCAAATGTGCCAGTAGTGAACCCAAGCATGGCAAAACAAAGAAGAAATACGTTTTTTACCCAAACACTTGACGTCAGTTCTTGTTTTGCATAGCAGGTCTGAAATAAGAATGTTCTGTAATAGAAATGTATGTTTTTGGGTTTCGAATGGTAATAAAAGTTACTTTGACCAGAATAGCAATCCGAACTAAGGATAGTTCGATAATTTCACCCGAAAGTCCAGATAGGAGTGAATCTATTTCAAAGCAGATTCCGATGTGCTACTAGTGACTACTATCTCATCAGAATCAGTAAAAATGGCATCATAACCAAACTGTAATGCTCTTCGTTTCCCTGAGTGAACCGAGCCCACCCAGCATGTCTGATGTTTGAGAGGACGAATGAAGTTTATTAGTGCCTGCTCAAGTTACTCGACGATAAATAGGGTTACAGGTGATACAAACACGAACACCGAATAGTGATAGTAATGAATACTAATGACGAACAACAAAGATGAGTAAGAAGAATAGAAATGTGATAAAGGCAATGAATGCCAGTGAAGGAAATAGGTTCAGTAGCAAAAACTTGACAAGCGTACAGCTGCTACATAAGTACTTCAAGACGTTGAGAAAACTGAACTCTACGCTTGTGAACTTGGGTGTTCCTGTGTACTGATACACAGAAAAGGAATACTCCCATTAAAGCCTCAAAAAAAAACACAAAAGCGATAACATTTCAGGAGACTCACTCAGGCTGTACCGTAGTGAAGTTTCAAAATAGAAAAAAAATTACAATTCCTGTAGAAAAATCCTATTTATCTTTTTCTTTTCCTGTCTTTTTCTTAAAATAAGTAGAATCCATGTCAGATATATATTATAACCCTAGTCCGAAACTGTATTATAGTTACTGTCAATAACGAAAATGAACACAAATACGTAGTTGTTCTAAATTCGTTACATATATACCAACATGTCTGTGCGTATAAAACTTTTACCATTGGCATTGAAAAATAGTAAGGATTTATAACGCTAGACAACATCTAGTGATAGCGACAAACTTCAAGTCGACTTCTTGTTTTCACTGATCACTGTAATCTGCTAAACTTTTCCCATCCGCGACAACACTTTTAGGAATATGTATGGAGAACGACTATAGTCGGTGGGTTTCGCGGTTTCGCAGCCAGAAAGTCTTTCAGAAATGTTACCCTGCCAGTCTTAACCCAGCTGACTATAAATACGTAATACTTACTTACTAGCATACTTGGATCGCCCGTCTACACTGATTGTGTAGGCCCCAGTATAATTTCCGTCTTTTCAGAGCTTTGCTGGGCTAGCCACTATGTTTTCCTGAAGCGCCGAGGTCAGCCTAGCGAAAATCTGCTCAAGTCGTCACCACCACAGTCATCGCACTTGTGGATCAAAAGGAGATTTGCCACCATGTGACAAGTTTGATACTAGGACGGTAGTGGATTCCGGTATTGGTTTACTCTAAGCTGGGCTTCCTGATGGAAACGCCGGAGTCCTTATCAGCTTGGAAAGCCCTATCGGGTGAGGTCAATTCCCTTGCTGTGCATCACTGCCCGATACCCAAGGACACCTGGCCACTATGAGGCTGCAAACCGTTGGAAGGAGAAATACGTATCCGACAACTTAAACAGGGAACCAAGGTGAAGAAAACAAAAAATATTTGTTGAATACGCCCGTCAGCCAGCAGCCGTTACTACAAAACCATTACTATAAGAATCAGTGACACTGATTTGTATGCGTCATGGAAAAGCCTCCAAGCTGGATATGCACCACAGAAGTGAAATGATAAGGGATAAAACGTTCAGCGTTTCTCAATCCCTTAGAGATGCGCGCATCAAGCACATTCAACTTTGAGGTGAATAAATGCATATTTAACCTTTACAATGACTCGCCGTGTCCTACCGATGTATCGAGTCCGTGTTGCTATCCTCCTAGACAAGTCTGGCAGCAATTTACCGAGCCCAGAAGACAAAGGACTTGGTGGGCCTTGGGCACGGGGATCGATCCTATGTGTATTGAACGACGCCTCCGACCATTGCGCTACACACGCCAGGGATAATTTATTACATGTGCTATTCATGGAAGTCGTCTCACAAAAAGTTCAATTTTCTAGGAGGACGATTTTAAAAGAACTCAAAGTATGGGCAAAAAACAGCATGGACTACTTTTGGATTTACGCAGGAAATACTCTCTTCTCGAATGGAATTCCACAGTTACATCTATCGGTATGACCAACAATAGCAGAAACACTCATCATGAAGTTTGCTTCTGCATTGCATTAATGCTTGTATCTACTTTTCGTAAGTCGAGAATCAGGTACATAAACAGGATCACTGATGAACCAGCAGTTAAAATAAAAGAGATGAGTGCAAAATTTATCCATACCTACAAAACAAAGCACAGGCAATCTAAACGTTGGAGTCCTATCTACTAATATACGCTGGATTGCTACATCCTAATCAGCTGTGGTGTTGTAAAAAACTTACCAATAGCTCGACGCAGGCAAAAAGGTAGAGCTACTGATTTGTTGACATTTTATGTTATCTCGGTCGAAGATTTCAGATTAGACAGATTACTGTTTTTTTTTGGAATTCTGTGGACCGACACCAACATCCTACGCTGAAATTTGAGTGGGGTGCCGTGTAGGACGATGTCTCATTTCACCCCAGCTGGAAGACGGTACAACTCTGCCGCGATTAAAACAGAATCGATAACGAATATATCACAATACGACATGAGGGCACAGACCATCATTGGGACACTACATACTTACATACGTTGGATTTCCACATCCTAACTGCCATAGTTAAACATCCAACAACTCACCAACAGCTCGATGCACGGTGGGAACAGTAGTGCCATTGATGCGCCCGAAAATGCACCCATCAACGAAATAAAGAGGGCAAGATGTGGGACAAGTTCAGCTATGGCGCCTAAAGACAATTTGATAACTTGTTACAAACTTGTCTGCGCTTAAATTTTGAATTAGAATTGAAATCATCATTTACAAGTGAAGAGAACTCCAAGATATCGTGTTCCATATATGTAAAAAGTTTGTCTGGAAACAGGAATCTTGCGCGTAATCCATTTCTCGACACGTTCCATTGGAACATAGAATTGCAATGGATAGGACACCATAATACAAGCGACAAACATCAGTTTAATCACTTGGTAAAAGCTGAAAATGGATTAGCAACTGGTAAGAATGCGTCCGCCGGTCATGTGGAAAGTAAACCAAGACTAACGGTGTCATCGGAAGATTGAGTGTCGCAGTATCCTTAACATCGTCACCTAACGACAAGTACCTAAAAGCTTCAGAGGTTACGAATTATTGTATAGAGAAGATATCATAGGACTAAAGAAAGGTCGTTCAATTACGAAAGACTTTGAAAATGTGTTATTATGGTGAGTTTCGTAAATATTGATATCAAATTTTTTCTTTCATATTTAAACTATAACTATTAGTATCTTCTTGGATTATTAAGCTAACGCGACGTTGTCTATTCGGCTGTTTCGACATCCTCATCTTCAATCTACGAGATCAAATTATTATCAACAGACAATCATTATCAACAATAACCACCGTATAAAAGACCGCTGCCGGGTGAGGTCGTCTCATTCGAGTGGTGCTCCTCTGAAGAAAAGCCGACTCGATGTGATGACGAAGACACGACATCGAGAGTATGCAGAACCGTGGGTGGACATCGACTAGGACCATCGCATTTGGAGAAGACGAAGACGTCAGCCGAATAAAAGTTGCATAACAACCTCGTGTAAGCTGAACAATTCGAAGAAATCCATGACACTAAAGTTAAGGTGAACGATGAGAAAACGATGTCACTCATACGTTTACTGTTGGGGTTTCCGAAAAATAAACATTGGCATTGATTACTGGTACATATGCTTTTTTAGAGCCTAACATTTCCGAAAAATGTTTTCGATGGAGCCAGAAAGATGTAGTTGGACAATACTTATACCGACTGAGACAAGAAATAAAAATTACGCTGAGATATTCGCAAAACTCCGGACCGCAGGTGTCAGTGGTGGGTAGAGCACTGATAGATAGAAAACTATCCTAGAGACAGGCGAAACGAAGGACCCGCTTGGTGTGGTGATGACTGAGTTAGCTCTCAGAAAGGGTAATAGCGCGTTCTTTCCTACCGCAGACACCTACGGTCCGGAGTTTTGCAAATATCTCAGCATCATTAAGGTTGTATTTCACACAATACCTCGTCCTCAAAAATTGTAGTAGGGCAGCAAATAAAAAGCTAGCAAGGAATAATAATATTCCTGCACTGTTATTCCCTTGAAATATGCATGATCTATGGTAGATGAGAATAGTTCACATCGGTGTAACTAGATGGATACTATAAGCACTAGTTTTCTACTTAATACAGTGAAATTTTTAAAATACCCGTAAAATCCGGTAACTGAGAAAATCGTCAGCACAACAATACAGCTCGAATTCAGCACTCCGTTCCAAGCAATGAACGCATGAGGATCACGCATTCGATTCTCAATCGGCATGATCTGTAAAAGTAACCCAAAAACAGGGTGAACACTAACAGATATCCTTTCCAGGATACAGGAACAGCTTACCACAGCGACACCTTCAAATGCAAACATAACCGTTCCAAAAAATAACGGCAGGTCAGAAAGACGCCCAAACCACGGTAGTGAACTGACAGGCCGAAGATCTGATATCATTCACATAGAGGGATCACCTACTGTGTGGGCGGGAAATTGAGCCACCGTGAACTCACCACTAACAAAAAAGAACAGAACTATTGCAACAGCGACTATATAGGTAGCATTTGCAATCATGGCAAATGGTGCCAAAATAGAAAGCCTGGAAAGTATTGCTGAAAGGACAATAGAATTAGTAGTGGAATTCGCATACCTTCTGATTGAACATACAAATAACATTGGGACCAGAATGAGAAGCATCCATACAGCCTTCGAAAGCTTGATTGACGTGTTGTTATTGAAGAACTGGAAGGGAAAAGCATAGAAATGGACCATGACGTTGAGAAGGTGAACGTCACTCACATCTTCCAAATTGTCGGCCATAAATACGAAATACACACAGCAGAAACCAAGCTGCGAAGCGAACATGTTCACGTTCACTAACTGCCTATAAAACTTACAGAAATGAAAACTTCACAGAGAGAAGTCTACTTACTTCGATGGCCCGTCTTCACTAGTTCTGCAGGCCCCAGCAAAACCTCCACTTCTTCTGAGTTTTGTTGGTTTAGCCACTGTGGTTCAATGGAGTCCCGAGGCCAGCATGGCCAAAGTCTACCCCAGGTAGTCACCATCCCACGCAGTCGCCGCCCTCGTGGATTATTGGGAGATTTGCCATCATGCAACTAGTTTGGTACCAGAACGGTGACAGATCCTAGTATTGGTTTGCTCTTAGCTGAGCTTCCTGATGGAAACCCCGGACTCCTTCTCAGCTTGGGATACCCTGCCGGGGGATGAATCCCTCTGTTGTTGAAGGCAGCCCGACACCCAGGAACACCTCTCAGCCAGGATAATGCGGTAAACCGTTGGGAAGCAGAGAGAAGTCTAACCTTAGAAAGTCTATTGAACATACTTGAAGAAATATCCTTTATGACGAATCCATGAAGGGCCCATTTCCACAGCCCCGCGCATTATATTGGCATAATCGATCCAGTCTCGACCGTTTCTAAGCACTGGGCTCGTATCACTTGAACTAATCGTTAATGACACCATGAAACTATTTAAATACAAACTTGCTACAAACGAAATGTGCAGCAAACACAACTTGTCGCATGCAGTAGAGACAGATCATACAGATGACTACGGTTAGAATAAGTCCCAACTGAAACGCCCATCAAGAAATTGAACGTAGTCATTCATCGGAAACCGGAGTTTGAAAGTAAAACTAACTTACAAACAGTCCTGAGTGCTTGAATGCTAACGGCAGCGACAGAAGACCAGTGCCAAGCATAGCCTTAATCATATGAATGAAAGCCTGGCCTGAAGTGAGGGCATTCTGTGAAGTAGCGCGGTCTTGGAACACAGGTGTGTTTTCCACAACTGGGCCTTGAGGAATCTGAAAGGAAAACGATATGGAACGTAAGCAAGAACGGATAGCTTAACTAAAAGGAAGACATCCTAGACATAATCATTTCAAAGGCTTTCCATAATAGGAACAAACCAGACACAACATTGGATCCAAGTTGAGTCTGTAGTATGAATTTGAAACCCTTCGAACCACCAAGTATATAACTGATAGACTGGAAACTTTCCGAAACAAAACACCTCTACAGGTACGACACAGAAAGGAGGTTTGGTCATATGAGTTGCTAATTTCAAAAACTGAACGATAAGAGAATGAACAAGTTAAGAAACTAATCTGTGCCAGTGATTCACGCCGAATATCGTTCTCGAACTCCTGGTAGCCCTCTCTTGCTGGATTCGACATCTGGAATTGAATGACATTCGTATTCAACATCAAAACGGTAGAGTGTAAAGTACAGTGATATGGAGCACCACTAACGTTGGCTCACCGAGAGAAGCAGCCAGGACAGACAGCGACGGTGGCGCGCGACGCGCCACGCCGTAGGAGCAGGGAGGCACTGGCTTGACCGGAGGCGAGCGCCAGGGGTGGCCCTCGGATGGAGCCTGGACCGGAAGTCCGGTGTGGAACTGGCACTGTACTTTCTTAGGACTGGACAGTACAATAGGCGAATGATTGGACTGTGGCCTCATTATGAGGATCTCATTCATGCCAGTTGTATTTAAAAGTGAGAGACATTTCAGGGTCACACGTAATAAAACAATTACATGTCCACTTCAAGAGGGTCGGAAAGTTGCTGATCAGCATCTCCTTGCTAAACCCGGTGGAATGGTCTTTGTTCCTACAACTCCAAGCGAGCAGTAGCGTTGAGAAAGAGCGCTACGAATAATCTGATGAGGACGGGAAAACTACAACAGTGATTTCTGAACGGGTGAGCATGAGTCGACTCCGGTTATTCCAAGTGTCCACAGAGATGACGCAGGTTACAGTGATTAAACATGCTTTCAAAATATGGCCGAGAATCAAAATCATATCGCCTGTTAAACACTATTTCTGAGAAACTAGAAGAGCTTTTCGTGGCCATTTGTAGAAATTGAGGACTTTCAGGGATTTGTGTACCGCAAAAGAAAGCACTAGTACATGAATATGGCAATGTTTGATGTACCAACTACCTCATAAAAACGTCCAGGACTATCCCATGCTAGACTGGCCTCGTTGTCTGCGCCCTCATTGTCAGGGATGATTAAAACGAAATGAAACCAAATTCCGGTAGATTTCTATGAGGACGACCAGACGTCTTACGAGCAAGTCATTGAAAAGCTTTTATGACAAATCCGGTCCAAAGAGAACGAAATTTGGAAGTTACTCCACGTTACTACACCCAGATCTCTGAAGATCTTACCTTAAAGATAGCACTGTATTTGCATAATTTCATACGAGTCTTTTTACGCGAAGATATTCCCTGAAAAAGTAAACATAGATAAGTACGGAGAACTGTAGTGTTGTAGTATCGTGTCATCAGTTAGTTTTTTCTAGCTGAGCCACTGGTGATGAAAGTAGGACAATATGTGGGCTAAAAATGCTCACAAGCGTAATCTCAACAACTAGAAAAACCCTTGCCGTTGCAAGACGGTAAATTAACACTTGAAGCAAGGAATACGACATAACTGGAGCATATCTTATTAGAAGTGCTTAGCGAGCCAAAGTAGCGGAAACAATCGGATGCTTTATGTTCCATCAAAAGTAGATAAATGTTAGATGTCTAGTTGGACACTTGAGCAGTCTTTATATAGCGAGTGGGTCGTAGCACTTCTTCCGTCTGCTGCTGGGTCCAACCGGAGGTAGTCGAGCTCTTGTTTAGCTTTGGCTACAACTTAAGGATCTCGGGACTCTTCTCCTCATTGAAATTTTAGGTGCTGATCAAGCGTGATTTCCCTGAAAACTTAAGAGCCAGTGTAAGTCATGCGTAGATCTTCAACACGGAGAGTTACTGGCCATTGTGGAAAGAAGAGAAATTTGGTGCATAACTATTCGGTAGGCCGAATTAATGATAAACGTTGGCACTGAACTTTACCTTTACACCAAAACAGACGTGGAAGATCGTGTAGTGCACGAGGGAAGTAGAGTTCATTCTACACTACAAAGGGCCTCGAAAGACAAATGAGTATTCAAGAATACAACTACAATGAGGCAGAGATATTTGCTAAACTCCGGACCACAGGTCTCTGCGGCGGAGAACGAACACGCTGTTACCCTTTCGGGGGTCTAACGTGTTCGCCACCACACCATTCCTGTTCTTCGTTTCACCTTTCCCTCAGTCTTGTTTTATAGGTGCTATCAGTAATCACCGGTCAACGGGATTGATCTGAGAAGCACAAATCGGCATTGAACCCAGTTAAGCCGAAGCTGTAGCATAAATCACAATGTGGTCACTTTTTATTTATTGCCTACTCTTTTTCACATGGTAGGGTATAATGTGAATTACAATTATAATGATGCTGAGATATTTGCAAAAGGCCGGATCGCAGGTGTCTGCGGCGGGGATCGAACCTTGTTCCCTTTTCCGGAGTCTGTGTTCTCCACCACATTATGAGTTTAACTGTTAGCACTGTTATAGAACTTATAAACAACTAATTCGAAAATTTACGTCAATTGCATACAATTTGACCAAAAATTGTGATGTGGATAGAACTAAATATTTTCTGTAGCAGTTCTTATTTCACCTATTTTCCTAGCGATGATGAAGAAAGACATTATGGCTTCTTTGCTACATATAACCAATGGCTAAAAATGCAAGTTCAGCAGATGGATACTCCCATAGTTGCTTCAGTGAGGTATATCCACAGAGGAAATGACACCAGTCCGCATTGGAGGGGATCAATTATCCATCGACTATTTCGAAATCGACCTTCCCTAAACCTCGGTGTGACTAATCAATATGTATTCTTTCTTGATAAGCTTGCACGAGGTTGATAAATATATTTATTTTCGGCTAACGTTTCGACGTCTTCGTCTTCCTCAGAGCCGGGCATCACTGAGTGAGGATGCCTCATTCGAGAAGAAGGCTCACTGAGGAAGATCTGGCTCGACACAAAGGCGAAGACGCAACGTCGAGGCGAACAACAAGCATGGACCATCGACTCGGATCACCAGGAAACCAGATTTTGGCAAAGATCTGCCGATTTTCACTGGATCGAAGTTTAACAGAAATTCTATCCAAACATCATAAAAACCGACTTTCATTAAACCAAGGCAACAATATCAATATTTCTCTA